TTTGCCGTAAATTATCCGTTTTTTATCCGTGAAAAGAATAATTTTTCCGCGGACATATTTCAAAAAATATCGCGTGCCCTGCTAACTTCCCTGGATGTTAGCAGGGCACCTTCGGAAAACCAATTAAGGAAACCAGCTAAACCCAAACTAACTATCTGATAATTTGCCGTAAATTATCCGTTGTTTATCCGTATAAAGAATTATCTTGCCGCGGAAACATTTTAAAAAATATCGCGTGCTCTGCTAACTTCCGTGGCAGGGCACCTTCTGAAAACCAATTAAGGAAACCAGCTAAACCTAAACAAATTATTTGATAGTTTGCCGTAAATTATCCGTTTTTTATCCGTGAAAAGAATAATTTTGCCGCGGACATATTTCAAAAAATACCGCGTGCCCAGCTAACTTCCGTGGATAACAACGGATAATTTACGGCAAATTATCAGATAGTTAGTTTGGGTTTAGCTGGTTTCCTTAATTGGTTTTCCGAAGGTACCCTGCTAACATCCAGGGAAGTTAGCAGGGCACGCGATATTTTTTGAAATATGTCCGCGGAAAAATTATTCTTTTCACGGATAAAAAACGGATAATTTACGGCAAATTATCAAATAGTTAGTTTGGGNTGTATGATGTATTTTGATCTATTTTGACAAGGGATGACGGAAATTCGTTCCAAATTTTATCACTTTCTTCATGCGTTCTGAAACCTTGGCATCAACCCCATTTTAGAAATTATGTAGCCGGCATAATTTTCAAGTCGATCATTTGTCCATCACAATGTTTGAATGTATGTCAATAGATTATGTACAAAAATATGTTAATATATGCACGATTAAGAGAAATAGAGGTTGCGCCCATCACGGTACCGCTATTCCTCTCTCAGTGAATTTGACAGAATCGTTGTTTGTATGACGTCACACTTGTGCAACTTGTTTACGTTTGCCTTGCAACATTTTTTCTTCTTCTCCCATTCTTGCTCACGTTTTGGCATTTCTCTCTCGCAACTGCACCAGTGAGACGTCACACAAAAGTTATTCTCAAAAATTCTCTCTGATGGGCGCAATCTTGTATTCTGTCACTCTTGTAATATATGTATGTATGTACATACCAGGGTTGTTGCGAATATTCCCATTCGTATTAATTTTAATATTCACATTCGCAATAATCAATGGGGAGCTTTTGCGAATGCAAAAGTTGTTCAAGTGCACCGACAAAACGCATATCTGGCAAACAAAATGACAGATTCTAGCCAATAATTTTTGATTGTGGTCGTGTTATCCGGGCGCGCACAACAACAACAAAACTGGTCACATGTCATATATAGCAACTTTGATAAAAGTGTTTCCAAACATATTATTTCTTAAGCTATATAACCGAGCTATCAATGGACGGTCAAACAAGTTCCCAGTTCTACTTGACCTTTGACGTACGTTAAAGGAAACATGGTCTGTTTAATAATTTTTTTTTGTTTTCTGTGCTTTTATTACCTGCATTGGCTTATTTCTTTATTACGAATTTTTTGGACCAATCTTAAAAAAGCTACTAGACATAAAAGAAGAAAGTGTGCACTGTAATTTTAAACCAAATTTTCGGTATTTGTTTTTGATGTTACATATATTTGTTTCAACCTTTTCCAGTGGGGCTCTTTGGGGAATTAATTTTAAGCAAACATTTCAAAAACAGTAATTTTGTTTACTTGTCGGGCATTTTTTTTTTCATACAGATCTACATTGGATCCTTGGCTGAAAACTTCTGTGGTGAAACTACGTTAGTTTTTTTTTTTTTTTAAGTCAAAACGTAAGCTCCTTCAATAGGGATTTCCAGCAGAAATGATCAACCTTTGGCTATAAAGAGAACTGATGCTCAAATAATTAAAAAAGCTATAGGTCTGACCTTTAATTAGGTAAGAATTACGTAAATATCTGAGACCTTTATCATACCTGATTCCAATAACTCAAATTATTATAAAAAAGTAACAATATTCTGATCCGATTCGGTTGGCAGCAACGAGTTTGAAAACATAATTTTGTTCAAAATCCTTTGTTGTCCTGGAAAATAATGACGTATTTTCCATATCCACCTGTATATTTAGCTCGCTATAAGCGCAATTTTTTCAAACCAGTCACAGAATAAAGTATTCAAAATGAATTACAAAGACTAAAATCAAAAAACGCTGATGACGTTACAGGCTCCCCAAATTCTGAAGCAGCCAAAGGAATGAGAGTGAAGAATTCTTTTTGAAAAGTTTTAGAAAAACCTGACACATCTAGTTTGGCTTGTAAGCGGTGTTTACACAACGATCTCGCCATTATGCTAGATTCTTCAAGCGAATATGAAAGGCCAAGCAGAGGTGGAACCGTACAGGATCATACAGTATTACCCGACAGTTCTGGGTGTTCTACGACCCACTTTAAACCAAATCTTTCTTAGGAATGAGCAAAGACGGTACCTACAAACTTACTGCAGTATGCACACGGCACTGGCCCGTTGAGGTACATGGCGAAAGGATTGGATTGCCCTTCAAAAGGTTCTGTCGTGGTTGCGATAACCCTTGCTCAAAAGAGACAGTCGAACACTTCCTGTGCGAGTGCATATCTTTCAATTTTGAGTTCATATTATATGCGCATATTTTCGATTTTTTAGTGCATGAGATTCCGAGCCCTAACTCATTACGAACGGATTCTGAAATTTTACTCTATGAACTTCAAAGATATTCGGGTTTAGTGATGGCATTTTCGTCGATTTCACGAAAATCGAACCTAACTTATATTAAATAATAAAAAAAAAAAAAAAAAAACATGGATTGGATTGCCCTTCAAAAGGTTCTGTCGTGGTTGCGATAACCCTTGCTCAAAAGAGACAGTCGAACACTTCCTGTGCGAGTGCATATCTTTCAATTTTGAGTTCATATTATATGCGCATATTTTCGATTTTTTAGTGCATGAGATTCCGAGCCCTAACTCATTACGAACGGATTCTGAAATTTTACTCTATGAACTTCAAAGATATTCGGGTTTAGTGATGGCATTTTCGTCGATTTCACGAAAATCGAACCTACGATGGAGTAAATAATTAACCCAAATTAAATCTGTCATTTTTTAAGAGTACAAGAGCTAACTTGAGTTAAGGGTGGAGTTCATTTTGCCAATTATTTCCTTATACAACAATCCGCAAATATATTCATAAAAAACAATCAAATGCAGATTTATGAGAATATGTGTTGTAATCCTATAAATAGTGCGTGCCTACCTTTAACTCAGTCGCCAAGCAGACAAACGCATCTTCCACATTTGTATTTTGTTTCGCTGATGTTTCCATTACGAAAAGTATTTCCGGGATATATTGGCACATTTGCTTTGCTTCTTCGAAGTCCACTTCGCGTTCTTCTTCCAAATCGCATTTATTACCAATTAAAATGAGTAATACGTTGGATGCTGTGTACCGTCGTACTTCTTCAATCCATTTTTGTAAATTTGAAAAGGACGATCGCTTGGTTATATCATAGACTATTGGGGGAAAAATATTAAAAGTAATAATGGTTGGCGAATAAAAATGTACAATATTTTTGTTTTAATTATTGAATGGTGGTTCTGATTATTGCGTATAGTATTATTGCATATTTGGCATTTGTCTGTGAAACTATGATTACTGAATTTTTATCTTGGCGAAATCCCAGCCATCCTAAATCTTCGGAAACGTATCCGAAAATGGGAAAAAATGCCCAGAAAACGTTCCTCACGCTAGAAAAATGGGTAATAGAGAGCGAATGTCTTCTTCTTCGTGCCCGAAACAGCCCGGACTTTTTTTCGGTCACAAATGTGCAAATTCAAATTGCCATAACAGCTGTTGTCTGTTTACATCCGAAAGCAAATTTTATATAACACAAAAATTTAAAATACCAATAAAGTTTCAAAATATGTAGCTATTTGCTAATTTTATTCGCCGTATAAGATAAGTACATATAACAATTTTATAATAAAATTACCGTTTTAAGCTGATTTGTTGATTCCTGGCACGAAATGTGGTTTCTTGCGTTCCCCACGCTCTGGTCTCTTTAGCACGTTTTGACAAATTTTTGACACTTGTGAAAGAGCAACTTATCTCTCTAATTACCGAAACAGCGTGTGGAACAAAACTATTTTCGGTCGATTCGGATACGTTTCCACCGCTAAAAATAAGCTATTTTATTATATTTTATTTTATTATATTAAGCATTTTTTCGTATATATGGGCAAATCTAAAAAATATCTACACTCCCTAAAAAAAATTTTTTTTTAACTTGTGAGCATACGTATGTTTTATATATCATTTTATTCGTATTCTCTTAATAAATCGATTAATATGTGTAATTCATTTTCATCAAGTGCTTCAAATTTAGACGAGGAATAAACATAAAATAGAAAACAAAAGAATAAGCTGGTTTCAAATTACGTTGTTCAAGTTGTAAATTTTGAGCAAAGATTTTGAAAGTTGAACTCACTTAATTGGGACGTTATAAATTCAATGGCATCCTCCGGTTTACCAGATGGGCTCCGGTTTTCGAGATAACGGTATTTGAAAATTTGATTTAATTTTAACTATTTTATAAATAACTCCCTCAGTTTTGTAGTTATTTTACTAGAATTTTGCACAAACCGGTTTTTTTTTATATTACCTTAATTATTCCTTAAAATTATCGAAATGAGTTCACTTTATTATATAGCTCCAATACAACTGATTACTCAGATATGTGTTTTTGCGCTATAACTCTAATGTCATATCTGAATAATAAATTGTATGCGTGCTATATGTTCAATTGGACCTACAAGAAATATTTACCTGCTTAATTGGAGGAGTTATAACGCAAAACAACGTCTCTGAACAATTAGTTGTATGGGAGCTAGATGTTAGAGTGAACCGATTTCGATGATGAGAGATAGTGAAGGAAATATTAAACTAAAATCGTGTGCAAAATTTGAGTAAAATATCTTCAAATCTGAGGGAGTTTTTTTTATATAATAGTTCAAATTTAAGCAAAGTTTCAAGTACCGCTATCTCCAAAAGTGAAGACGATCGGGCAAAACTGGGGACGCCATTGAATTTAGAAGACTACTATTAAGTAAGAGCAACTATCAGAACCTTTGTCGAAAAAATTTTGATTTGATACCAAGCTCGAAATATTCTGACTACAAGAAGGAGCATAATTAAAAGTACTAAATCAGGGTTTTTATCCACTTCTAGAGAAAATCGTTTTGAAGCATCTTACAGGTATATGTAACGTTATAAGGACTATACGCGACAAACCGAAAATTTTGAAAATGGTGAAATGTGGAGTTACAGACTTCGAGTTGCTTGCCATTTCGTTATTTTTAATGCACACTTTTCGTACCTACTACATATGAAGTGTACAGATAAGTGCTAAATGCCCATTAAATTTTAAATCAGAATATGGTGTGCTTCAAAAGTTATGACATAAAAAAAAAATTACATAAAAAATTCCCTTGTTTTCATTATTATTTTTTTTTTTAATTTAAACACCTATAATTAAAAAATTATACAGCAAATTGATCCAAATTTTGTTTGAGGCTTCAAGTATACGTCAGTGAATTATATCCAAAAGCAACCAGCTTCATATAGTTTCCAACAGTGAAAATAAAGCTAAATAACACCAAGGTTACCGATTTTTTAGATTTGCCCATAGACCAGTATAAGCAGAATAAAATATTGGTATAGGAACTTTACTGCTTTATTGGTAGATCTACCAATTTTTTAGCTATATTATATTTTCTACCATTTTTACCAACAAAGACTAAAAATCGACCAAAATTTTCTGGAAAGAAAGCGCAGAGCTTTAAATGAACGCAGTGTATATGTCCATATTTTGTCATCGGACAAATCTATATATATAAAAACGTCGTGTTCGCTTGTAACGGTCATCCAAACTCGAGAACGGCTAAACCGATTTGAATATATTTTTTTTATTGTTCTGTATAATCAGGATCATTTATATCTAGGGATGGAAATAATGACTGTCTTATAAATTTCAACCAAAAAAAATCAGCAAGTTGTAATCTTCGTAAAATAATTTTAACTATACTCACGTATCTGTGTTCGTAAATCCTACTGGAATTTACAATGATTTTTATTTTTCGAGTTTAATCAATAAAGATTAAAAATAATTGTTACTTGATTTTTATTTTTTCGCTAAAAAATAATGATTATTTTATGATTTTTATTTTTTCGCTAAAAGATAATAAATATTATTAAGTTTTATTTTTTCCCTTAAGAATAACGATCATTCAAAAAACTCAAAAGCTATACCAACGTGATTTCCCACATATCCTTTTCAGAGGTAGCGACAGTCTAATAAAAGTAATAAGTACCAAACTTTTCAGGTCAACATTTCAATAGATTGCGTCTGTATTGCCTTTTAAATTTTATAAATAATCACTATTTTAAGTGGAAAAATAAAATTAAAAAATAATGGTTAACTCTGAGCGAAAAAAATTAAAATCATAAAATAATCATTATTTGTGATCGAAAAAATAAAAATCAAATGATAATTATTTCCGTTGAGTGAAGAAATAAAACTCAAAAATAATGATTATCTCTGAGCGACAAAAATAAAAATCAGAAAATTATGATCAAGTGCTGATTTAAATTATTTTACTCCTAATAATTATCGTCCCTGTTTATATCACAAAAATTTGGAGGGTTGCTTGAAAATTTTAAACTCAATTACATTGATAAAATAAATGACATATTACAATATGGGTATCAGATTAAAGAGGTTTAAGAAAGATGGCTGATGGAAATATTTTTGAGGAGGGTTGCCACCTGTTTGAAAATATTTTCGCCAAAAGATAACAATTATTATTAAGTTTTAATTTTTCCCTTAAGAATAGCGATCATTCAAAAACTCAAAAGCTATACCAGCGTGATTTCCGACATATCCTTTTCAGAGGTAGCGACAGCCTAATAAAAGGAATAAGTACCAAACTTTTCTGGTCTGGACGATATCGTGCTGAGTTTGTCTTGTTTCATGAAAACCAAAAATTGTTGAATCGTATGTGCGATATGGTCCACTCAATTCCAGTTTTGCTTCACGTAACAGTAACAGTAGCACGTAACAGCAAAACAAATGCGTGAATCAGTGTTTTGACGACATCGTTTTGTCAGTATCGTTTGAACGACAATCGTTTCAAAGTTACGTGATTCATGCCCAGTTAATTCAATAACAGCTTCTTCCAAGTCATTGAAAACATGCACTTTGTTAGGTCCACCACCTGTTGCACTTGCCTCCGCATTCGACCGCGCTTAGGGATTATAACCCTTGCTAAGTATAATTCTCCTTTCTGTGTTGCCGGAGAATAGGGGCTTCCGGATGTCAAAGATATACAACACTTCTTGTGTATATCACTACTCTATCCACAGTATTTTTGCTCAGAACCCACGTCGAAATTTGCAAAAAAGTGCATAGTGTAAACCGAATTTATTAAATAGTGGTCGGAAATTTGATAAATTTATTTTAAATAAAACTGTAATCCTTTGATTAGACGTGATGTTAAAGTTTTTGGATTCGGGTTACGCGTGTGGACAAACAACCGAAAATCATTGTACAAATAACTAAACCGGACCCAAGTTTCTCGATAAGGGGCAACAAAGATTCTTTTTTGCTCGTTTATATAAAGCAATGGTTACAAATATACGTATGTATATACGAAAGGCAAATTTATCTGTTTAATTGAACGCCACTAATATTTCATGCAAGCACACATCGATATACATCTTTTATCTCGCCTCCGACACAGAATTGTTGTCGTACAAAATGACGCACAAAAGTTTACTCGTTCGTTTTTAGGCATGGCATTGTTACTAATTTCGAAAATTCGAAAATACGATTCGGATTGCAGCATACTATTTTTACAGAGTTGCAGAATAGGGGTGTAAGATAATAAGAGCTGTGGAACTGAACCACGCAGGAACAATTTTTTACAAGGCCGTGTAATTTCTGGCGTGTGCCCATCACATCGACGTCATCGGTAACAAAAATCGCGAAGTCTGTTTTATCTTTTCTAAGTTGGATAAGGAAGTATTGTAACCCTGCTATTAGTAAATCGATCTATTGTAACCCCGCTATTAGTAATAACAGCAAGTTGGCTGTGAGTAATATTTTTATCTTGTGAATTAGACTTTTATTATACAGACGTGTAGAAGTTTCCGTTTTTGCAATAGAATAGCAAGTTTATACAAATAAGGCACTTCTAATTTCTACAAGAGATTGGCGACGAGTAAAAGGAAAATTCGGCATTAACATGGGCGGCGCCCAATTTACGGAATGTTTAGCGATGCAACAGCAATTATTGGGTGAAATCCTGAAACTCACATCAAACGCAAACGCAGCGTGCACAACACCAGCGACAGCCGTCATTGTTCCGAACTTCGATTCGTTCGATTAATCGAAGGAATCTTTCAAAAATTATATTTAACGTTTCGAAAACTATATCGAAATGAACACTATTAAAGC